TCATCTTTATAGATATCTTAACAGATAAGGAAGTTCCCTGATGGCCTAGTCTAGTCTTCATGGAATGTTGTTAAAATTGCGAATGGATGTTAAATTCTGTCAAATGCTTTCTCTGCATCTATGAAATAAACAGAGAACAATAGGCAGTACATTTTATTAACTAAAATTTCTTTATTTTTTAAAAATGTTTTATTTATTTCTAAGAGAGCATGAGCAGGGGAGGGTCAGAGAGGGAGATACAGAATCTGAAACAGCCTCCAGACTCTGAGCTGGCTGTCAGCACAGAGCCCAATTCAGGGCTCGAACCCACAAACTGTGAGATCATGGAAGTCGGGCGCTTAACTGACTGAGCCACCCAGGGGCCCCTTGTATGAGTCCTTTATGTATTTTGGTTATTAACCCCTTATCAGATGTATGATTTTTGGTATCTTCTCCCATTTCCTCTGGCCTTTTGTTGATGGTTTCCTTTGCTGTGGAAAAGCTTTTTAGTTGATGTAATCCTGTTTGTTTATTTTAGCTTTTATTGCCCTTGCCTGAGGAGACTGGTCCAAAATACATTTTGCTAAGAATGATGTTAAAGAGCTTACTGCCTCTGGTTTTTTCAAGGAGTTTGATGCTTCCTGGTCTTATGTTCAAGTCTTTAATCCATTTTGAATTTATTTCTGTGTATAAGACAGTGATCTAGGTTTTTTTTGTTCTTGTTTTTGTTTTGCATGTAGCTGTCCACAGTTTTCCCAAAGACCATTTATTGTATATTCTTGCCTCCTTTGTCATAAATTAATTGACTGTATGTGTGTAAGTTTTTTTCTGGGCTCTGGACTCATTTCATGGGTCTCTGTGTCTGTTTTGGTTTTTTATTGCTGTTGTTTTTGTTGTTTTAGTCTACTTTTTAAAATTTAATGCTTTTTAATGTTTGTTTATTTTTGAGAGGGGGAAGGGCAGGGCCAGGGAGAGAGGGAGACACAGAACCTGAAGCAGGCTGAGCTGTCAGCACAGAGCCCAGTGTGGGGCTCAAACTCATGAACTGCGATATCACACCTGAGCCGAAGTTGGAAGCTGAACTGACTGGGCCACCCAGGCGCCCCTGTGTGTCTGGTTTTGTACCAGTACCATACTGTTTTGATTACTCTTCCTTTGTAGTGTAGTTTGAAATTGATGACTGTGTAGTTGGTCCGAGTGTTGTGGGTTATCGTTAAGCTGAAATTGAGGACTGTGGTACCTCCAACTTTGTTCTTCTTTTTTAAGAGTGCTTTGGCTGTTTGGGATCTTTTGTGGTTTTAGACAAATTTTAGGATTCTTTGTTCTAGTTCTCTGAAAACTGCCATTGGTATTTCGTTAGGGATTACATCGAATCTATAGATTGCTTTGGGTAGTATGAGCATTTTAACAATATTCTTCCAGTCCATGAGCGCAGAATATCTTTCCATTTATTTGTGTAAAAAGAAGTACATTTCTGACTTTTTTAAAAAAAATAGTTTTTAAGGGGCGCCTGGGTGGCTTAGTCGGTTGAGCATCCGACTTTCGCTTAGGTCATGATCTCGCGGTTCGTGAGTTCGAGCCCCGCGTCGGGCTCTGTGCTGACTGCCAGCCCAGAGCCTGGAGCCTGTTTCAGAGTCTGTCACTCCCTCTCTCTCTGACCCTCCCCTGCTCGCGCTGTCTCTCTCTCTCTCCTTGAAATAAAAATTAAAAAAATATTTAAAAAAATAGTTTTTAAATTTATTTTTGACAGAGAGAGAGAGAGAGAGACAGAGACAGACAGACAGAGCATGAGCAGGGGAGGGTCAGAGAGAGAGAGGGAGACACAGAATCTGAAGCAGGCTCCAGGCTCTGAGCTGTCAGCAAAGTCCGATGCAGGGCTCGAACCCACAAACCGTGAGATCATGACCTGAGCCAAAGTCGGCACCTAACTGACCTAGCCACCCAGGCACCCCCATTTCCGACTTTCTAAGCATATGAAGATTTTTTTTCTTGTACTTTCTTACTGATTTCTAATTGTAGTGTTTTGTGGTCAGAATATATTGTGTTTTCAATCCTTGGAAGTTGGTTGAGACTTATGTGTTTGGCTTTTCTGAATGTGTGCTTTAATGTGGATTCTGAAGTTCTTAGATACAGTTTTCTCCATGTCTTTTAGGTTCCTTTGGTTCATCACATCGTGCACATCTTCTGTGTCTATATTCATTGGTGTTTGTCTGCTCTGAAAAGTATCATAAAATATATTTATACTATATTTATATGCTGTATATTAAGTATACTATAAATATGTAATAAGTATACCTTGTTTTTGCTTTATAGGCTATAATCAGTAATCCTATTGTGGTTAAAGATTTATCTATTTCTCCTTGCAGGTCTGTCCGTGTTTGATTTATGTATTTTGAGGCTATGTTATTAAGTAGTAAGAGTTATATTTGTTACTTATCTCCCTGCTGTTTTTATCATTATGAAGTAATTCATTTTTCCATCTAGTAAAGTCTTCCCTTAAATATTACTTAAACAAAATGTTAGGGGCTCCTGGTTGGCTCCGTTCATAGAGTATGCAACTCTTGATCTTGGGGTTGTGAGTTTGAGACCAGCATTGGGTGTAGAGGTTACTTAATAATAAAATCTTAAAAAACTACTTGAAAAAAGGGAAACGTTAATATATTAACATAGTTTTTCTTTTATTGTTTGCATATTGTATCTTTTTTCTATTCGTTACTGCTTTATTTTATTTTTTTTTTGTTTTATTTATTTTTAGGAGAGAGAGAGAGAGAGACAGCGTGAGCAGGGGAGGGTCAGAGAGAGAGGGAGTCACAGACTGAAACAGGCTCCAGGCTCTGAACTGGCAGTCAGCACAGAGCCCGACGCGGGGCTCGAACCCACAAACCGCGAGATCATAACCCAAGCGAAAGTCGGACGCTTAACCGACTAAGCCACCCAGGTGCCCCTGCTTTATTTTTTTTAAAGTAACCTCTACACCCAGCACGGGATTTGAGTCTACAACCCTGAGATCAAGAGTTGCATGCTCTATAGACTGAGCCAGCCAGGCGCCCCATCCTTTTACCACTTTATCTACTTTATTGTGAATTACATGCATATAAGAAATACGTAAATATATCGTTAGCGAATAATTACAAACTGTATGTCTGTGTTACCACTACCCAAGTTCTAGCTTTATCTTTCAACCATTCTGTGTCCTTTTGCTTAAGATATGTCTCTTGTAAATTGCATCTTAGATGAATTTTGTCTTTTGTCCAGTCTGAAACCTTAAACTCTAACATTTAGCCTGACGCGGGGCTTGATCCCACAACTGAGACTATGACCTAAGCTGAAATCAAGAGTTGGATGCTCAGCTGACTGAGCCACCCAGGTGCCCCTATGGTCCTGTCTTTTTAAAGCTGTACAAGGCACTGCTGTTCTTTTACCCACCTACTTACCATCTTTATTCACCATTCCTTTTTTTAGACTCTGACATCTAAATAGTATTGTTTTTCTTCTGTCTGAAGCACATCCTTGTACTTCCTTTAGTGGTATTTTGCTGAAGTCAACCTTTTTAGTTGTCTGAAAATGTCATTCCTGAATTCTTGAAAGATATTATCCCTGGATATAGAATTCTGGCATAGCCATTATTATCTTTCAGTCCCTTAAAGGTACCTTTCCTGACTGCCCTCTGGATTCTGTTGTTTTACTTGGGAAGTTGTTCTGTTGAAAGGTAATTTTCCCTCCTCTTCTGGATACTTCGGAGACTTGAATTTCTTTCTCTTTGGTGTTCTGCAGGTGCTCTGCCTTATTTTTCTCTCCCTTTACCTTCTGTAAATCTAAATATTTGAGCTTTTACCGTCCTTTGCAAGAAATCAAGCCACATCAATATTGTAACCACTTTCCTACATTTTCTTCTAGGAGTTTTATAGTTCTTATTCATACAGTTAGGTCTTTGATCCATTTTGGGTTAATTTTTTTTTTTTTTTTTTTTTTTTTTTTTTTGAGA